GGGTTTTTTTGATTGTTAAACTTCTTCTCTCAGCCCATGAACTTTAACTTTTCTTTCTGATTCTTCCCACCAAGAGCAGGATAGAGGTGAGTGAAGGGCATCTGCGAGGTTGTCAGCTGGAATTTGGCCATGACACAAGCTCAGTGTCACAACACAGTCCCTTCCATATGTCCAAACATGGGTCTGATAGATCAGCAAGCATCAGAAGGTAGAGTGAGGCTAGAGACTGTGTGGATTTGGCACAGCCTAGTTTTTAGTATTGGAGAAGGGCCACAAAAGTAGATTCTGTGAAACCTGTTAGAAGCTTCACCATGTCTGACAGAGCCAATCTCTGATGGCTCTAAGATGGACATGCTGCTGGCCCAACTCAAAAGGTTCATAAGGCCTCTGTGAAGACATATTTAAGAAGGAAATCAAAACAGCGTGTGGGCAGTTTTTTTCCGAAGTGTGGTGAGGCACCACTGCCAGGGGCGATCCCAGTGCCAGGTGCAGCTATACAGCCATCAAGACCACCACCATTTCAGCACAGCCCATGGTGAACTTTGCCTTCCTGGTCACCCCTAGCCAGCCGTGCTGCAGACAGAAGGGCAGAGGTGGTGGTGACGGCTTCCCTTTCTCAGCACCCTGCACAAAGAGAGGCACTGGATGGTGCGACCACCACTGCCCATGCAGTGGTGGCAGGGCCACCTGGTGAGCAGCGGAGGCATGATGAGCAATTCCCCAATGCAGAACCAGACTAAATCAGCCTCTCAGCTCTGCAAGATGCTGCAGAAATCTGAATTGGTGGGATGTGTTGGCAATGGTACTTATGAGCAGTAGCTTTTTTCCTCCTAGTTGGAGAAAGAGCAAAAAGTGAAGACGTGGAAAAAGACAACATGGCATCACTAAGGTCAGTGGAAAGGGGAGGAAGTGCTCCAAGTGTCAGAATCAAGATTTCTCTGCAAGCAGTCATGAGGACTATGGTGAAACAAACTGTCCCCTTGTCATGCATGAAATCCACAGGGGATGAAGAGATCCACTCACAACCCATGAGAAAAGGTGCTCACGCTGGAGCTGGTGGATGTTAAAAAAGCTGTGGTCTAGTGGGAGACCTGAACAGAAAGAGAGGGCCGTTGCTTCCAAACTACAACAGCCTAGCTTTAAAAGACTACACTCCATGGGCTAGTGACCCATGACATGACAGTTTAGGGAAGACTCTTTTGCCCGTGGGAGGGACTCACATTACAGCAAGTTGGGTGGGACTGCTACTTGTGAAATTAGAACCACACTGAACCACATTCACAAAGAACTGTCTCCCATGGGAAAGACCCCACAGCACAGCAGAAGAAAAAGACTCCTCTCCCTAAGCAAACTGAAGAAAAATCTCAAGTGACCAACTGAAAGGTTTCTTTTACTCCTCATTATCCTCCTCTGACTCTGTTAATATTAAATTTACTTTATACCTTTAAGTCTGAGTCTGTTTTGCCCTTATAGTGTTTTCTCCCAATCTTTATCTCAATTCATGAGCCCTTCATTACAATTTTAATAGGTGCCTGGTGTCTTAACCAGTGTCAAACCACAACAGAGACAAATTCCTTTTTCTTGAGTGCCCCCAGTCTATAACAGCAAGGAATGCAAATAACACAGGATTTATGAGCTAAAACCTATACTTTGAATTACATTTGAAAACAAGTTGGTAACCAGTACAGTTTAAGATCATCCTTTCCCCTCTGCAAAGGGCGGTGCACTGCCAATGAATGTTGCCACAGCACATCCTGAAACAATTGACTATAGCTGTGATAACTGCATTCCTGTTCTGTGTCCCCCCATAGAATGGGAATGCAATCCCATAAATTGGGCCCCACAATTTAAAAACTATGTGAAGGTCCTCAAATGAGTCCAGAGGATGGAAACCAAGCTGGTTGGCTGGATGGCATGCCCTTGAGGAGCAGTTGAGGATTCTGGTCTTGTCTCCTTTGGAGGCTGAGGGATAACAGTGTTGTTCTCTGCAGCTTCCTGAGGAGGGCATATGGAGAGGGAGGTGCTGAGCTCTCCTCCCTGGGATCCAGGGACAGCACTCCTGGAAACAGTTCAAAGCTATTCCAGGGAAGGTTCAGACTGGACATGAGGGAGCATTTCAATATGAAGAGGGTGGTCAAACTCTGGAATGGGCTTCCTTGACAAGCAGTCAATGCCCCTGGCTTGTCAGTGTTAAAGAGGCATTTGGACAATGGCCTTAAGAACAAGCTTTAGCTTTTGGTCAGCCCTGAAGGACTCAGGCAGTTGGATGAGATAGTTGTTGTAGGTCCCTCCAACTGAAATATTCTAGTCTGTTCAGTTCCTAGGGATGGCTGCAGGGCTGCAGGGTCCCACCTGTGCCATGGCAAGTCTTGGTGAAGCTCTGGCGCTCTCTGGAGCAAGACCCTCAGGATGGGCATGAAAGGTGTATGCAAAATACAGCATATGGCCACCAACTCCTGAAGAGCAGAGAGACGTGATGAGGATTCATCAGCCAGTGTTGTCTGTTCTTGGTGTTACCTCAAGTAACACTTGCACACATTCATCTCAGTACTTCTGTATGAGTGTCAGAGAACCTGTGAATGAAATTCAAAAGCAAATGAATGGAAATGAAGTCAGTTTTGTTTCTAACAAAATCAGCTATTCAGTATACCATCCTGAGTTTTGCTGCACTGGAAGGGGAAGGGGAGGATGTTCTGATATTCTGGCAGGCTTGCTTGGGACACTTCACCCTCTTCAACAAGAATATCAGCAAGGGACCCATAAGTGTCCAGTGACGTGAGTCCTGAGGTCCTGACATTCACCCTGATAATGGTGCTATGGGATGAAATCACAGAAGGAATGGGCAGAGCCAAGAAGTACAGAAAGGGCACCGGATTACTTGCTGAAGTTGCAGTGTCTAATATTAGCCACAGACCAGACACTTTAGAAATCCTTTCAAGAAGGACAAAGATCCTGGGGTGGCTTTCCTGCCTGTAATCCCCTGGAGCAGCACATTCAATAGTAGATCTTTGAGGCTTGTAACCCAAATCCTGCCAGGCTGCATGGAGAGGACAAATGGGTCTTGGATACTTTGGTCTTTACTTAAAATAGGAACAAAACTGCTCCCGTGTGCCCCTCCCCAGAGCCAGGGGAGGGGTTTACATGGTATCTGAGAGTGTCCATGATGTTTGCATCTCTCTTCTTTCTACTACACTCACAGAGTTCTACCTTTCACTAAAGATGCTTAACTTTGCCACCAGGCAATAAGCCACCTTCTCTGCATACCCAAAGTTCTAAGGATATCCAAGGACAACCAATTCAGGCTGATACATGTCAGGAAAAATGTGTAAGTAAGACAGTGCAGCAGATGCCAGCAGCAGGAGCAGGTGAGTGAACTGCAATATGCAGCAATGGGTACGGGATGTGGGATGTGCTGTCTCTGCATAGAGAATCTGAGGTCCCTCTGTGGTCCTAAACATTAGGGTCCAGAAACCAATTGACACAGTTGGGGCAGACAGCAGTGTCAGAATATTGGAGTGGGGGTGTCAGAGGGAAAGAGAGGAAGTGGAGCTGTGTCAATGGGCATCACCTGACACTGCAGGATTTAGAGTCTGGGTAGCAAACAGCTGCTGAGAGACAGATAAGGAGGACCTTAGGACATCATGCAAACAAAAAATTCTGCATCAGGCTTGAAAAAATGAAGAAACTAAATGTCAGAGTTCAGGATTATCTAAGTGGGGAAAAGGAAATGGTGCTAACAGGAAGCTGCACATTATCTTCCTAGAGTGTGATCAGCAGTAAAGGAATGTCGAGATGGTGTTGATCCTCAAAGAGGAGCTGTTGTTCCAGAAAATTCATAGAAGACATCTCTTTTACAGGAATAGCCATTGGTAGATGGAAAGAGACCTAGAAGATTTTCAAATTTTCCTAATCAAGAATGTTCTTTAAATCCCAACTGCTACTCTGCATTTCAGGGTAACTAAAATAGCAGAGACCTGTTCAAAGCACTCCGAGCACACTCCCTAGGAGATTATGTAATTTATAAAGGTCCTGTGAGTAAAACCAAGCTCTTGCTGCTATAATGTGCAGGTTTTGATGGCATTCACAGACCCAGGCTCTGCACCACTGGCTCATACATTCCATTCCATTACTGCAGTACAGTTTTTTGAAATGTTGGACTCCTTCTGCCTTAGTCATGTAAAACCCAATACCCCATTGGCCACAGTCAGTGCCAAAATGGTGCCATGTCTGGTGCCATGAGCAAGCAGATGTGGAGGCACCCAGGTGGAGCTAGAATTCATAGCCTCTACAATAGGAATTGACAGCAGACTTGGAACAGAGATACCTGCTTTCTGTCAAGACACTGAGGATTTATTTTAATGACCTGGCTTAGCTGATGACATGAAGACTTTAAGACTACTCAGACTGTAAGTGTTAGGACTGTTGGCATGAGTAATGTCACTGATTCAGAACATGAGCATTTCCAGAGAGGAGGTTTGGTGCAGTTAATCATGGTTGGGCTCTTACTGAGATGCATCAGTGATGTGTCACCCATAGTATCTACCCCCTGACACCCTCATTGCCTGACTATAAGCTTATGTCTCACCATGATCTTTAGGAAAGTCATTTTCTGAGTTTGCTGCTGATGGCTCCTTCAAAACTCCCAACTTACTCTGCTCTGACAAAAAGACATAAAGTGGTAATCAGAAAGGCATGTGTCTTGGTTCTAGAAGACAGGTGTCTGCTAGGCAGGGCAGAAGCTTTTCTTGGAATGAAAGAATGTAGACCCCCTCCCTCCGAATTATTATAATTTTGAAATCAAGGGGTTTTCAGGCAGAGATCTGGGGATAGGAATAACAGTTCTTTACTAGTATAGCCAGGCACACAAACAACAATAACTACAGCATTAGCAAGAAAACAGAACCAGGGACCCCGTGACAGCTTTCTCGGCTGAGAGGGGAAGGGATGGAGGAGAGGCTTTGTTTTCACAAACCCCCTCGGGCAGTCCCGGTGCTCCTGCAGGACTCTGAGGAACACTCAGCTGGAACAGCAGGGATGAGCTGAGATCCTGGGCCAGTGGCTGAGGTGTCTCAGAAGCTCCATGGTGGTGGCTGGCACTGCCACACGTCCCGGCAGGACAGGGGGTGCGAGGCCATCAACGAAGAGGGAAGAAGGAGAAGAAGCAGCAGCTCCATCTGGGTGATGGCGAAAAATTCCCTTCTCTCTACCGAAGCAGCTCCGTGCCCAAAAACGAATGTCTTTCCCTGAAGCCGAAGAAAGCCAGCCAAAAACTGTCTCCACCCTCCTTTTTCCTGCCCCCCTTCCGCCCCTGGGCCCGGCCACTCTTTGTCCTTTGTCGAGCACCCACTAAATACCCACAGTTAGGTTGTCCCCGCAACTAATGGGTAAAAATTCCACGGGCAAGCCAGAACAACAACAAAAAGGACACCTAATCCCCAACAGCATGTTCAAAAGGATAGTCCTGTTAGCAACAGCATCTTGTCAGATTTCAGGTGTAAATAATTGCATGTTCTTCCATGAACTACCTGTGCAGTTCCAGTTATACACTGTCTCACAGCATCCTCTCTCAAGACCCGAAGAATTGTAGTATCTCCTGAAGCCAAGCCTCCCCCTTTCTTCATAAACAGTATATATTTCAAGAGTAGATGAACTAATACCATGAAAACACTGTGTCCTGGTCTTGAGTTATAATGGCTTTTGGAATCCTCATCAGGATTGAGAGGCACATGAATAAAACAGTAGGATGAGAGTCTGTCATGAGAGTCACAACTCAAGAGTGACTTAAATGCAAGAATCTGCACAAGGTGAGATTTGTTGATGGGCAGATGGACCAGTAAGGCTGCAATGCCCAGCAGCTCTGCCCAGATCATGTTCCACAGCAGGCACAAGCATTCATCCACCATTGCCAGACCTGGGCACATCCAGCTCTGGGGGTACCAGTGCTCAATTGCATTTTGAGTTTCATAAAATCACAGAATGGCTTGGGTTGAAAAGGACCTTAAAGTCCATCTCATTCCAACCCCTGCCATGGGCAGAGGCAACTTCCACTACCCCAGGCTACTCCAAGCCCCATCCAGCCTGGCCTTCTGCACTTCCAGGGATGGTGCAGCCACAGCTTTCCTGGGCAAAGTGTGCCAGGCCTCACCACTTTCACAGGGAAGACTTTTTCCCAGTATCCCACCTAACCCTGCCTTCTGGCAGTGGGAAGCCATTTCCCCTTTGTCCTGTCCCTCCAGGTCCTTGCCCAACGTCCCTCCCAAGCTCACCCGGAGCCCCTTAAGGGACTAAAAGGGCCTCTGAGGTCTCCCTAGAGCCTTCTTTTCTCCAGCCTGAACTAATTTTGCTTACCTCAGGTCCTGCTGACTGGAAGTTACTTCGTTTTCCCACTCGAGGGTGCTGTTCCCATTGGCAAAGGCCACCCTTCTGCTTTTCCAGTGCCCAGCATCACGTCCCAGAGCTCACAGACAAAATGGCCATCAGACTTGCTCAAAGCTTCATTTGCATTCACTGAACAGGGTTTTAGAGGGTAACATGCTCATGGACTCTAACTAGAGGATTTGTTTGACCTCTGAACACAGTATCATCCTGTTCACAATGGGCATCTGCTGGATAAATTATTACATTTTTATAAACCCGTGTATACTCATAAATATACTGTCATATAAATACTAACTCAGCAGAGGTTCAGCAGTCCATATTCTAAAACAGTAAGTGATTTTTAAGTACCTCATATACTAATTGTTTCATGAAGTATTGAACAAACCTGATAGGTACGAGACTGTGTGTCCATCTTTGTCCTTCAGACCCCTTTGGATGTCTTAATGTACAGATCCTAAAAAGAAAGTCTCTTTCATGACTTGAAGGCAGAACTCTGCAGAGGGACTGAGTAGCAGTATTCAGCACTTGTAATTCTAAACTCACCATGATTTATGATTATGGACTGCTGAAGCATGGAGGGTTAGGACTTCTACCAAGGCTCTGTTTTCTGAACTGCTTTGCTGTGCAGAGCCTGGCAAGTTTGTGCTGGGTTGTGGTGCTGCTGTGGGTCTGTGTGCTGGCGACCCTCTGGTGAGGGCACACAGATGGGTCCTCCTGAAGGGGAGGACTTGGGTCATACCTCTGTAACTAAAAGAGCCACAGAGAACCCAAGGAAAATAAAAGGCAAACAACACCTGAGCACCTTCCTTTGCTCCAGGAGTCTTAGATGCTTTTGTTCCACCTATTGCACACACTGAAACAAGCAGACTTTTGTTCATAGGAAGCCCAATCTCAATCCTTTGGAAGTCAGTGGGAGTTTTCATTCACATCAGTGGGCTTTGGATCAGCCCCAGAAAAACTGGCTTTATCAATATAGACATTGCAGATCAAGCACTGTTTAAGGCTGTTTCAGTGATGCCACACAAGGAGATACTGGACAGCCATCTGCCTGTAGGAGCACTGGGGTCCCCCGAGGCTCTGAGATGGCCGGAGTTTCCTGACAGGATTGGTAACTCCAGGGCCCCAGTACTTGGTGTAACTATGTTCTGTAATACGCTTTGGCAACCTGGTTACTGTAACAGACTGTTCACAAACTATCCCTTTGCCAGCAGCAGGACTGTGCACTGCCTAGTGGGAATGGAGCAGGTGGACTCAAAGAGGTAAGCAAGAAAACTATTAGCAAGTCACTGTGTTTGTTTTAAAATTGTTCACATTTCTGTCTGCAAAGGTATTTATAACCATGCTCATCATAACCGTGCTGACTACAGCTTTAGAAAAGTCTGGCAAGAAAGAGCTGATGGACAGCATTTTGGTGCGACAAGGGAACACAACCTTAAGTGCTCCAAGAATGCATTATAGCACAGGAACAGCAAACAGGATCTGTTCTCCCAAGGCTTGAGAGCGAGAATGACGGAGTGGAATTTTTTTTGGCCTGCGTAACACAGGACAGAATAGATCATCTTAAGGGTGTTTTCTTTCCGGCCTTAAAATCTACACAGCTGTACTGCGCTGATTCCAAAGCCGTGGTCCGCAGAAGGAGCACTTTCTCGTTGTTTCGACTGAAATACTATATATTAGTTTAACCACTGTTTTTCCGCGCAAAGAGCAGCTGCAGTTTCGCTGAAGGAGTGCTGGGCCCTCCGCGCCGAGCTCTCCCCGGGAGGCCGCCGTGAGCGGGGCCCGGGCGGGCAGAGCCGGGCAGGGCGGAGCGGGGCAGCGGAGCGGGGCCGGGCCCAGGCCCGCCGGGCTCGCTCCGCCCGGGAGCGCAGGGGCCGCTGGCGGAGCCCGGAGGTGAGCGGGCAGGGACGGGGGGAGCCCCGGGAACGGGCCGGGGGAACCCTGGGGCCGGGCCGGGGAACCCTGGGGCCGAGCCGGGGGTGCGGGCTCCACTCAGCCCGGGGCGAGACGGGGGTGTCGCTTTTACCCTGTGGCATGAAAAACGGTGGAACTGAAGGAAGATCTTCTTGCTGGCAGTGAAAACTGTTCCCAGAGAAAAGGACGGCAAAGCTGGGAAGGAAGCTGAGGTATTTAGTTTGTGGTTTGAATTGTTTTTAGAAAGATTTGTGTAGTGGTCAAAATTCAAGTAGGGTAACGACAAAAAACCAAGCAACCAAACCAACCAACCCTAATTTTAGACTGGAGTTACCGAAAACCTCAAATCAGATACTTGACAGCAAATTCCACTTCTGGAATCATTTAAAGCCAGACCAGCTGGTAAGTTTTAGGAGGTAATGGCAATGGGATAAGAGTAAAGTTAGGTGTCAGGGCACGAGGTGAGCATTTCTGGAACAGACCGGTGTTAATTTGCAGTCTGATAGCTGAATTTCCGTTCACCAGACTGGAAAATCAATCTTTATCTACATCAGTTTATCAAAATTTAAAGGTAATTCCTTCTCTTGAAAGTGTAATTGGGAGTTTTGTGAGTTTAGTTTTGTCAAAGTCAGATGGAAGGTGTGTATGAAAGGGCACACATGGTGAAGTTTGTCCTCAGAAGGAACCAACCTCTCCTTCAGCCAGCAACGAAAACTGGGGTGAAGTGTGAGACTCGGTCGGTGATTGATGAATCTAGCTCAGGTTTATCAAGATGGCCAGAAAATGCAGAAGATTTTTTTCTGTATTTCTGTTTAAAAAAAAACCCAAAAAACAACAAAGGTTTGTTTTAACCAGGGGTTGTACACTGGAAGATAAGACTTTGTGATATGATTGTGTACACAGCAGCAAAGAAAAGTCCATCTTATATTAAGTCAAAAGAGCTTTTTACTGTGAAGCAAAGCTGCTGAGAGTTATTAGCTGTTAATACCTGTTGGAATTAGCATATAATACTAATTTTCTTAATCTGATTCCCATCTCATGTCAGAGTTATGTTAATGAGATAGATATTTTGCAGCTTGACAACTGCTTCCAGACAGGAAGGAGAGTAAACACCTGCAATGAAAAATTATTATTCCCCTGTCCGTTTGTTATAGTCTACCAAAATCCACATGGGTTTATTTTTGCTGTCTGTCACACCAGTAGCTACAAAAGACTTGGCTTCTCTGTTCATGTGGCAAAGATTAGATTCATGCTGCCAACTTTTCATGTTGGGTTTAAGGAACTAATTCTGTATTTCAGCTCTAATCAAAATAAGAACTCATCTGAGTTGATGTCCTTTTCCCATGTTGTTGGACAGTGTCTGGGAAGACCCTGCATTGCCAAAAGAGAGACAAGTGGTGCTTGAGGATGTCTTAACTATCTGCTCTTGCCTCCCAAGTCTGTTTGGGGACACCAACCTGTCTGAACTCCAAAGCCCTGAGGTTGCGTAGTTGCTCAGGTATCATAAGAGGCTTCAAAGTTCAATTTCCTGGTATATGCCTTTTTGGTGAAATAGAGCTAAAGAAGGCTTCTTTTTAAATCTTCTCCTCATGATGGAGCTTTTTTCTTCATTTCATGAGGTCACCAGATTGATGGAGTGCATTTTCATTGGGTTTTTTAATACCACTTACAGTTTCTGATGTCCTTTTGAGTGCAGAACTTAAATGATGTCTGATGTGAAAGAGAGCATGAGCTTTGGAAAGTCAGTATCTTGACAACAGCCAGTCTTATAAATCTGGCAGTGCCTAGTAATCACAAAAAATAACTAAATCAGGCATTCCTGCAATTCATGTTTTTTTTGAAAGGCAGCTAATGAGAATCCTTGATGATATTCATGAGCCCAAGAAGGTTCAAGAAGCAAAAAGATGTGAGGAAAGTCCAATTGCTTTATTTTCTATGAGATACATAACAAGAAAATTGATTCTGTTTTTCTAAAATTTTATTCTGTATTATAACTCTAACTTTTGTAATACCCTAGACTCTTCTCTGCAGAGCTTTTGGGGGGGAAATTGCTTTCAGGTTCAGAGAGCTATCTAAATTTTTATTTTCTGACATGTTTATGGCAGAGAACAATACAGGGCAGGGAAGGAAGTGAAAGCCTCTGTAGATCACTTATTTTAGCATTATTCTAGGAAGCAGCTTATTTGGGCTCAATACCAAAATCAAACTGCAAACCTGCTAATTCTGCTTGTGAAAAGTGATTATGGTAAAGGAGCCTTTAGTCAATACAGCTGCAGGTGACAAGGCTCCAGCTATCTGGGCACATGCCTAAGCTTTGTCTCTTTTTCTTCCAAGGCAGAAATCCATGGGACTTCTCTTTTTGGAGAGCACTGGGCACAGAACTAATACATGAGCTGGGTTTGTGACCAGTGCTTGCAGCAGATCGAGGGACCTCACAACTGAGCTGTTGCAGCTGGGTTGCCACCTGCCAAGGTCATGATGATTTGTCCAGACTTTGGAAGCAGTTGTTGTAAATGAAAGATCCCTCAGGGAATCTTCAGATCTTAATTCATAGCAAATTTCTCTGCAAGAGGGTAAAATGCAGCTAGAATGTTATTGTACACTACTTTTTCAGGTCTAAGATGAGGAGGGGATAGTTCAATAGGCTTCCTACTCATTCCTGAGAGAAACAGGAGAGAAATACAGACATGGAGTTTGGTGTGATATGATGCAGAAGGTGGGTCCCTGCAAGTTAGTTGTGTATGTACACCCAGAAATTTCTTGGGGCTGCATCTATCATATATTTAGGTTTAATTTTCTGGTTTTCTGTGTTTTGGGTTTTTTCTGTGTTTTGTTGTTGTTTTTTTTTTTAGGTTTGTCCTAGTTTAGGGCAAAAATGGGAGGAAACTTCCAAAGGGGTCCCTCTAGAAAGCAAATTCTCTAGAAAGCGGCCCCTCCCCATACTGGTTGGGGAAAAGATTTCTTTGGAGAAAAGTGGAAAAAAACTGTTTATTTAACAAGCAAAGTATTCACAAGCATAAAAATGAGTAATATTAAACAATAGAACCTCTTGCAGTTCTGAAGAGATGGCAAATTCAGAAAGTCTTTGTTGTGGGCTGTAGCTCAGCTCGCTCAGTCTCTTTAGCAGTCCCTCCAGCGCTGGAAAATGCTGTGTCCCAGGCCCTGGTGGGCCACAGGTGTGAGCGCGTGGTGTTTTTCTGGGTTCTCAGTCCAGAGGCGGGGCCAGGTGCTTCCGAGGAAAAGAAATGCCACAGTCCAGGGAACTTCTCTGCCTCAGCTAGCTAAAAAAAAAAAAACCAACTAACTAAAAAGAAAGGAGAGCTCTGTCCCACAGTGTGTGCTGCAGACAACACAGTCCAGAGAAGGAATGTGGGGAAGTAAATGCAGTTTGCAAACAAAAAAATGCGCTTCTTCTCCCCCTCTATGCTCTTGAAATAAGAATATCCAGCATGAACAGAACAGAGGAATGGGGATGCAAACATCATAAAGTCACCCTAGGACAAGGTTCCTTTTGCAGAGACCAGTAAGGAATTGATGATACGAATCCAGATATTTCCTGGTGTGATGTAGCAGATGGGT